TTTTCTCGGAAGGTTTGTTCGCACTTACCAAGACATTAAATTGTGGTTTGATTTTCTAGAACCACAAAAATAAATTTGCTCTCTATAATATTACGCTACGAGTTAGTTCTATCTCTGTCCTTTTACTCCGGAGACATTCCAGAGTAATTTCATATTCACGATAATGTCATGATTTGTGAAAATATTCATAAGAAGTGATAACGAGAACTCCAGAAACAAATGAGCTCTAGTTATATATCAACTTATAAACGACTATAATGTTTGCGTTAGTCGTTGTCAATCTTGAGAAGAGTTAAGTAGAAATATAAGTGAAAAAGTTGCAATGGTAGCAGTGCAAATGATTGTACCACTCCTCAATTAACTTTTTCAGACGTCTTCACTCTTCGGGAATCTGTTTGGCCTTATCACTGAAAGAGCAGCGCGTGTGAGTTACGTTATTATGAACTGTCTTTCTAGTGTATGGAACTAGTTCAAATATGAACGTGAATAAAATCTCTTTTTGAATTTTGATTATCGTAGCTCTTTTGCTATGCAAAGATTTTGAAACAAGCCAGGAGGTACTTCTATGAAAAGATTAGTTATTCGTAATCACACTTGGACCTCCAATATTCCTAAAGGATCTCAGTATATTTGGGTGAATTGAATCTACATAATGTTAATATTTCTCAAATAGTGTTTGCCATGTAGTGTCAGGCTAAGCACATAGTCAGCGTTTTGCAACCATATCACAATAAATAGGACAAACCGACGTTCGCAATTATGTTGTTTTTGTTTTTTCGAAATCGTTTAAGGACAGTGAAGTAGCTATAATCCTCATTTGTATAGGTCCCGCATGAAGATGGTTCGAATCCTCTTAGGGGAAGAGGACGTTTTACTCCAAGCATTGAAAAGGAGGGGACGGAATCAAAACAGAAAGTTGCTAGCCAGTTATTTGATCTCTTCGATAGTATAGGAAGTGGAATTATGCAAGTGTCGCGCTTGGAGGGGTTTGTTAATCGTTGAAGTATGATAATGTAGTTTGTGATAGAATATTATATAGTCCCCACGTCTGTACGAGAGAAAGCACAAAGAGATGGCCAGCGGATGGAGGAGCGCTGAGGTCTGAAAAAGTTTGTCAGCGATTTCATGGAGCGAACAAGTGCATCGATAGAAGAACAGATTCAAAGGTATGCACAGGAAATGCCAATTCGTTTTATGGCAAAAAAAATCAATTTATACAGATAAGCATAGAAGTTACTCGGATAGAAGAATGCTGTGAAGGATATGAAACCAGGGATATATTCAAATATGGCTGTCCCATAGGTAAGATGCTTTCTTCAAAGAAGAAAAACACATACATGAGAAGTTTATTGCTCATATA